ATGCCGCATTGTGTATATAATCTATAATGCAGGCATCTTTTTCAGTCGGAGAAGACGGCTTTACTCGAGCGTGGTCCGTGAGAACTGGAGAATTCTTATGCGCAGTACCCCCACCGTACCCGGTACTCCACCGAGACCTCGTTCCTAGAATATGCTGCAGCAACAACTGGGGTGGATTGTACGGCAACTTGGGCTTGTGTTTGGCTGTTCGAGACGAAATGCATGTTTACGAACTGAAAACTTGATTGTCTGCAGGCTTCCGTTCTAAAACTCGTTTCCTTCATTAGGGAAGTAAATGTATTAGAGACAATCTGTGATGTACCCCGTCATGTGTAAAATAAAATTTTTCTTACTCAAGCGTTATGAATTTATTTCGTTTTTTTATATAAATCACTGAAGTCGATGTTCCGTGAATTGCTATAACTATGGAAGCGCGTAGAATCTGCAGTTGTAAACATTCACTGGACAAACTGAACTGACTCGTTGATTGTGATCCTGAAGACACTGCAGAAATATAAGTCTCTATAGAATGTTGATAGTTAAAGAATTTGTCATTATAAAATAGTTATCTTGTTTGGCACTTTCCAAAATAAACAGTTATAATGTAAGTAAATAGTGAACAGCTAGACAATACCTCATAACTACTTATTTACGAGTGTGTTGTATTTTTTCTTATTCACTGTATACCATCGGCTTATTGATTACGCCCAACACAAGAGCAAAAGTCTGGACCGGATTCCAGTACGTTTTTATATCAGTGACGTTCCGTGAAGGGAACCGGTTATTATCAACTATCAGTGGTTTAAAAGTAGTATCTAAATGTCCTGGGATGCTAGGACACCCTTCCTTCATGGCTTGCTAGCAACGTTTTCCAATTGATGTGATAAAAGGTTTTACTGTGCTTTATTTTGGGATGGCCGCCACATTGTTTCCGTCTTTGTGTATGATTAAGAAATAAAAAAACCAATTATGCGTGACATCAACAGCGAAAAAGATCTTCAACATTGATTCATGGGACAGATAAAAGCGCTTATCTCCAACTGTATAAACCTGTACATGACGTGTTGAGTAAAGCAAGCTTCCAGTTTTCAGACGAAAACACCAACAATCTAATAAATACTCGTCAGCCATTCCGTCTGGATTATACAAATCTGTCTAAAATTATAAAGTACAGTATACCATAAGCAATAAGGATGCGAGCAGCGATTTAACACAGTTAAACAAGGCTTTCGATCAGCGATGGGGAAAAAACAAGACCGGACAAGGAAAACAGAAGACGGAAAATCAAGCTAACAAACGAACGAATCACAGTTCGCTGACGAACAAATTCGACGTACAAGCTTAGGCTTTGGTGAAAAGCAGCTCATGTATATGAATCCCGATCCATTCGACGGGTCTTCTATTAGCCACTAGGCCAGGGCTGGCGGTGCCATAGTGATTAACTATGTCCGGATGACGTGAAACATGACGTCCCAAAAATTCGGATCAAAGATTCATACGACTTGCGAACGCCTCTTGGGCCAAAATACCGGCGAGGAGACGTAATTCATATGGTTTTCGATGGCGACCAGATTGGCGCTGCCGGCTTCTTTTTCCTCCTTCACTTCCAGCATGAAACCAAGAAAGTTCGGGCAACCGAGTTGCGAAAAGCCAGTCCTTCTTTCTTCAGATGTCGAAAACTGAAGTTCAGATATCATGTCGGTTCTTGGCAGAGGTGAATTCGGTGCCGAGTGAGCCTTTCTTGTAAATTTACATTCCTATAAAACTGAATAAATTACCGAAACACCTTGTTATCTAAAAACACCGCGTAAATACCATATAGTTTTTATCAGGCATTAATTAAAGGCACTGATTGTAAGTGGCTTAATTAAATCTAGACGGTTAGCATCAATAATTGATAATTTTCCTCTTCTTACGATGGTGAAGTGACTAATAACTTTATACCAGAAAATCGAGATTTCTATGTTAATTAATCGCCGTTGCACTCGCATTCTGGACATCAATTATGCTGCCGTCGAACTTTTGCAACGGACTTAATAACAACGGAAATAACGTGTGTGATCTTCCCCATCACAGTCATACCGTTGGATTTCATCTTTCAGCAATTGAAGAGATGTCCGCAGCACCCCTGTCCTGTCTGAATCTGGTCAGAGCCAAGTCTCCAAGAACTTTCTGGGAATTCTATGGTCGGGTTGAAGATAAAGTCTTTGTTATAGGCGGTTGTAGCGTCCCGCTGCTCGCCACTGACCCTCAAGACTCAGTTATGACGTCGCCGTTCGTTTCTACGATAGGTGGCATTATTTCAGGCGTCTCCTTGGCGACTGTTGGATGTTTGAAGGCATGATAGATGGAGATCTGACGATTTATATCAATTACCCAGAAAACGCGAAATCCCTGATAGCCCCTACGAAGGTGAGAGGATGTTGACGGCTTCAAGGAAGCACAATAAATTATCAAAAGGTATTAACTAGCAAATAATATCTTATCCCTCTCTATTGTTGCCTCCTAGCCATATTAACTTCGAACCGGTGCTGCAATATCACAGACCAAAATTAACACCTGCATTTAATATGAGAAGAATGCAAAACACGCCGTGCTTTCCATTTAGGTCATTTAACCAAATGAACGTAAAACCCTTTGACCAGAGCACAGTAACCTGTAGAGCGCATTTCTCATCAATTAGGTAAGCCTACGAACGCCAGAAAGCCATAACCGTCCCTGGTTTGACCGAGAATTGCGATTTTTGTCACGTGAAATCTTTACGTTTTGTCATCATTCTGGGCCATTCGCTCAACCACAAATTTTGTACAGCTACTAGAAAATTCAATTATCGTTCGAACCTACGTTTGTGGAATGCGCTTGCGAATCTGCTTTTCTCGCACGTCATGTGACCGCCGTTCAAAAGGACAGCGAATAATCTGTGGCGTTATTTGTTTATGCCACTTTTGCTATTAGTTTTATTTTATTTATTCGCTATTTTGATTTGTTTTTTATCATGCTGAAAATCCTTGTAAATCTTGTTCAATAAACTTACACTTCCGTTCAGTATGGAAAATATTTATCTAATGCCTAACCTTTATTGGTGTCACCGGGCTCTTTTGCTGCGCGTCGAGCTTTTCAAGGAACTGGTCGAACTGGCAGCACTTTTCAATTTCCGTATCGATCATGTCGTACAGCTGCAAATTCTTCTTCACCTTTTCGTGAGAACTGCTGGAACGATGCTAAAATCACGACGGGTTGGTCATTGGACGACAGCAACTATAGCACGTTTTGTCAAAACCACTCACCGAATGTCACAGCAACTTAACAATAGAGTGACAAGAAACAGTGAAATTTCGTCTCTTCATTTTTACTGATGCGTCACGCCATGGGTTTAGGCTGATCAAACATTTAACGTTTAACAGCTATTGAGCGTCAACTC